TCAAAAATAAATATTTTTTTGGGAAAAATTTGACGACCATCGAATTTCTAAACGGCGTTTTCCCTTTGAACGACGATATGGACTTCTCTCCTTTTCACCTGAGAAAGTATTTTTAGCACCTAGGTAAACCATATGGACAGGTGAGGAAGAAAATTGGTCGGGTATCAACACTTTATTCCTCATCAAATTAATGAGCATGGGGTTTCTTTGTCACTGGAGGAAGAATACGCTCTTAGTAGCACTAGTCGCTGCTTTGGAGAAACAACAACTGTCGCCTGCAGATTGATCATTAAAATCGATAGACAAAATGACAGACTAATAAGAGAAAAGAAAAATGGAGCGATCATATTGTTTTGAACGAGTGGTTCTCAGAGCTTAAGGAGGAAAATGATGGACTAACTTAAGATCTCTCGTGGGTCGCCGTTATGAGTTTTGCTACTTATCTCCTTTATCCATTGAAACCACCCGCTTCCACCGACAGGATCACTTTATTTTCCTATTGGTCTTTTTTGTCCATCGCTTTGTGTAGCAATTTAAATAATCAGCCCGCTGAAGGACGACCGGGTGGTCCACCAGCGGTGTTCTAATGTATAGGTTTTTTTTTGTTTTTTTTTTTAGATAACGAATATTTATTAATTTTGTAACAAAGGTGGAACCATTTTTAGACAGATAATGGCCGAAGGCCTAAGAATACATGTTAAAATATGGAAGTCCTAAAAATATTTACATGGAAGTTCCCCCTTTAGAGTTCCCTTATAGTGCCTTAATTATAAATTACAAATGGACAGTGAAGCTCCTCAGACTTCTTTAGATTCACTCATCATCGTTGGCTTCGGAATCGTCGGTTGACATGTCGTCGAGGGAGGAGGGTGGGCTAATGTATAGGTTGGCAACGAACCTGTTTCAAATATTTCGTATGGGATAGGTTGGCTGCTCTTTCAGGTTCTTAGGCTTCCATGTTACGATCTCTTTCATGAAAGTTGCCCAACTTAAGTATACTTTAGTTTCATTCCTATGGCTTCCGTGGACCACCGGCCACCAAGAAAAACTGCCCGCATACGCGGTAAATTTAAGAACTCGAGTTAGAAACTACGAAGATTGCGCACTGAGGAGCGGATTTCAGATTTTTTTTTGATTTGCCTAAAGTGATTTTCAGGAAATTTACATTTAAAAAAAATGTATTCAGTTGGCTCTATATTTTGCGTGCAACAGGCCCATTTATCTGCATAGGCAACAAACATACCGCACTGCCGTGCTAAGGAAGAACGCCGTATGAACATTCGAGAGTTGCCAAATCGCCCCGGATAAAACATGTATTTTTTAGAAAGATTATGCTTATTTATCCTTGAAATTCTCAGATACCTATTTTAGACAAAATTGCTAACAAAATTGCCTGAAAAAATTGAAGAAAAACATTCCAAATTTTTCCAGTATATTAGGTTTTTATTGAAGGAAATGTCGCAACGTCTGAAGGTTTATAAAGCGTTCTTCCTTCGCACAGCAGCATAGAGCACGACTCTATTCGGAAAACACATCCATTCCGGAGAGCAGTCCACGGTTACAGGTAATACAGTAAAACTGTTTCATGTATTTTCCAGAGGTCTAAAAGTTGAACCTAGGTTTTTGTAAACTAGGTTTGAAAAGCTGTAAAAGTCATGGGGCAGTTCCTGGCAATATTGAAGCGTGATGAAATGGCCACGTGGCAAAATATAGGAAACAAACAGCCACAGGAGTGATTAAACGGGACGAAAGGTTTTAAAACACACGATGGATGCAGGGTCGGATTGGCTCGCATCTGAGGGCGTAGACCCTTGGCTGGTTAAAGGGCCGTAATGTGATATTTCCTGGTAGGGCATTCCCTAGAGGGGTTCAGAAAATTTTGGCAAATCAGCACAAGTTCACGCTATTTTCAGGTTCAAACTTTATTGATCGGACGGAGTAATTGAACGTGGAGCACAGCATTGAGAGCTCACGCTTCGCGTCATCGCGCCTTCAATTTTTCAAATGCAGCACGGACGTCCATCAAGTACGAATAGTTGTATCTCTGCGCCGTCGTAAACGCGCATCCTTTCTCTCCCTCTATTCCCGTATTGTGTTTGTTTGCGTTTGTCTTATTTGTAATGTTGCTTCAAACTAGAGCAGATCATTGCGAATTCACGACTCACGGCATCGCTTCTTACATTTTTCGTATGCAATGTGGATGTGGACATCCATTTTGTGCGAATAGTTGTATCGCGTTTACACTTTAGATGTCTTTTAGGTTTGAATTTGGGGATAAATTAAGGTTAAGTTTGCTCGAGCTATGCTATGGTATGTCCAAATCAGTAGTCGTTTGGAAAGGAGGAAATATGTTTAAAGGCCTCTTAAGAGGTCTATAAAGGATGCGTATGTCTAAAAATCGAACCGACCATCGCTTCTAAGGGAGTTACACATAGCGAATGAAGGAGGGGGATGATAGAGCGCCTGTATGTCAAGAAGAAGGTGAAAATTTCACAGAAAATTGTTTACGCTTCAGAAAGTAGTTCTTGGACCTCTGTTCACCACTATCACGCGTTAAAGCACCTTTCTTTACTCCTAACTCTCTCTTCTTTCGTTTATTTAAGAATTTTTTCTCACATATTCTCGGTCGTAATTGTTTTCTTCTTCTTATTTTGCTATCTGTAAGAGGGGCGCGTTTTCGGCGCGAAAAGGGCGTATCTGCCAATGGCAGATTGGCCTTATGGCCAGTCCGAGCCTAGATGGATGACGCCATGAACCACTTGAGTATACAACGTGGTCTCTTTTGGCCCTGATCTGGTATTTTCCCCGGGTATCTTTCAAACGAGGCTTTACAGACGACAGACTATACTGGTCTTAAACAGGACCCATATTTCAAAAAGCACTTACGTGACACGAGTATCTAAAGACACTTGAGATCGTTGGTGAAATTGTATAAATACATCTCCTGGATTATGACTTCGCCAGGTTTTCCAACAAATTCTCTTCCTATAAGTGAAATTAATTAATGTATTTTTTAAAGCTCTTCTTATTCTTTATTCCCTTAACTTTCTAAAGCATAGGCGTAGCTAGGGGGTCCTGGGGGGGCCCCCCCCCCCCCAGAAAAACGGGATCCTCCATTCCTCACCCACCCCCCGCTCTCTTTACCTCGAGAGGTGGTCCCATGGCCCCCCCAGAAAAATTTCCTAGCTACGCCCCTGTTCTAAAGTATATTTCGCAAAATATCCAAACATGAATTTGAATTTGCTTTGAATAGAGGAAGTAGAAACATATAGATATCGGGACACCACCAGGAGCTCTCTTGTTAGCTTGTAAATTTGAAACTAAATAGATTTCTAGTGCATAACACGATATACTCTCGAAGTTTTTCAGACATATGCTGCACCGCAACTTCCAATCAAAATGCGAACTTTACTGGCTTGTTTTTTCGGGCAAGCATATTATGTATACACTTCTCGTTTGAGTGCCGGTGGTGCACCAGGCGCTGAAATAATTTTAAGGTACTACTAAAAAGTATGCAAAGGGAGATGAATTAAGGGCTGAAATATTTGAAAGAGACCACTGGTGAACTCTCTGGGAGAGGATGGGAAGATATATGTATATTGTAAAGCTACGCTAGTACAAGAAAATTATTTAACCGAGAAGACTGTTCTCGGAGTTTAGGTTTCATGGGAATAGGCAACTTAAAATCCACTGATGATCCACTGTTGATTTTGATTGAATCTGACCAAATTCTGATGAAAAAATGATTTTTTTTAGTCAATTTTGTTGCCTTGGAATGGAGTTACGTTAGTCGGGAGTTGGAGTAACGTGTCTGGGAAATAAATTGGACGTATTTATGCTAAAAGGAACTGCGTTGCATGCAAACCTTATGCACATAGTTGCTTTTAGCATAAATACATCCAATTGTAAAATATAGTCCAGCCACGAACTATGTTGCACACGAGTGCAACATAATTCCTTGTAGCATAAGTACGTCTGATTGGCCTCTAGACAATGTATGAATCAAAGCACAACGCCACGTATTTCCTATTCATTATTTCACGAGGAAAAAGATTCACACCACGCGAAGTCTCCAAATCAACTCCTGAACAAGATATACCTAAGTGTTTTCTGTTAACATTGGTCAACAAGACGTCATTCGTGTAATCGAACTTCCATTTGCTCTCCGTTCAAAAGACTTGTTAATATCTCGTCCAGGAGTTGATTTTCAAACTTTCCGTTGTGTGAACTGTTCGCTATGTAGGTATTTGAAGAAAACGCGTGTGACGTTTTCTTCTACTTCACAACTCATACGGTGGCCTAAACCTAGTTTTCCAGACAGAGTAACGTACATCGACGGTGAAACTACAAGACCACGTATCTCGTATGCGGTGTTAACAAATTTCCGCTACCACTTTATTTCTTTTGAAGGAGAACAAATCAACATCATTCCTTGAAGTTTAGGTAAAATCATCGAAATTTGTAAGAATCAGCGTTGAGTAGTTTTCCATTTAAAAAATAAAGTGTGACAGAAAGTCTGCAACGTCGCGAAACCGAGATGGTCTGGTCTTGGTCTAGTAATTTCACCGTCGATATCCTTTCCAAGGCTGCAGAATCGACTTGAAAAATATATTTTTCCTATATCAGAATCCACACTGATCCGATCAGAATCGGCCTGAGTGGATTCCTTGTTGCCTATCTCCTCACAGAATGTATTTTTTCAACAGACCAGTACTCTCATTTCCCGGAACTTGTTCCGAATTTTGGAACTTTTGAGATTTTCCTGAATATCTCCCGGAACTTTTGAAATCCCCGAAATGTTCCGGATCCTTTGCATTTGTCGGAACTCCTCAAAAAATTCAAAAAGGATCGCGGAACTTTCGACAGTCATGGAGTGGGAGAAATTAGAACAAAAAAGCTCCGAATCCCGGAACTGCTGATGGACTTGGAATGGGATCACTGCAACAGACAACGAAAGAACAAGGTGTGTATTCGGTAAGCTGAACATAACGACCACTCACTTGTTGTTTTCGGTCGGCATAAAGGCACCACCTCCGGCTGTAGCACCCGAACCAAAGGCTATACTGTAACGACACCACTGACGAATAACCTCACGTAGAAAACTTGTTTCACGGGGAAAGGGTATATTCACCTGGAGGCCGAAGTGGATGTCACTCGCGGAGATCCGAGGGAGTCGGGGGTTGGGGGTGCGAGGGTGCGACGCGAGAAGGTGGATGGTCTCCCGTCGAGGATCGTGGCGTGACTAGCGACGACGGGGAAAACTCGGAGGCCGAGGACGGCGACGACGACGCCGACCGCAGCGACGACTCGACCAAGACAGCGACGCCCGCCACGACGCGCCACCCCCACCCACCCCCGCCCGCTGCGGCGTCCGAAACCGCTGCTCCATGTAGGGGTCCCCGGCGGAGTTGAGCGGTTCTCCCAAAGACATAAAGACGGAGTGCTCGTATCTAAAAGCACGGGGAAAAAGTGAAGCTAGGTTCGGCGCTGCGCGCTTGTGTGAGTGTGTAAATGAGCGCGGGAATCTATGGCGGCAAACGGAAATTTGATTTGAACTTGTCCTCTTGATTTTTGCACATTTCTTCTTTGAAACGTATTTTAAATTCCTAAAACGAATATACTAAGAAAGTTCGGTCTGCGTCCTAATATAATACACCTACTTTTGCTCGGTAACAGGCAGTAATCTCAGATAAAGTTAGTTTTTCTTCTGCTCATGGTGGTTCTGCAGGTTCAAACAGGCCGTTACAGTTCTAGATCAACGTTACTCCCAAATGAAATTAATCGGTCGACGACGGACTGAAACTAACCTAAAGTTAAAAAAATATGAGTGTGTACCTGAATTTGGGCAAAAATCAACCTAAAATACTTTGTTTCCGCAATTTTATTTATTAGTTCCCGCCCTACATTTGAATTCAAACTTGTCCCGATTTCGCCGCCAATCCTCTAGCCAATAGTAGAGGTGATTGAAAAGAAGCTCTAGAAGCTTCATTTTTTGCTTTTAGTGCTCCGTCTTTATGTCTTTGGGTTCTCCCGGAAGGGGGCCCCGGGCCCCGAGTCGGACGAGACGTGGACGGACGAGAGAGAGCGCTGCTGTCACGTGACGCACCTTCGAGAGTCCCAGACGCGGCCCTCCATACGCCCGTGACGCGAAGGAGCTTTGCCGGCGGCTTCCATTAAAAAGTGGTCGTTGGGGCTGAGGCGTCGAGCCTTTGCTTTCCTTTTCGAACCAAACTTCTGAAACTCAACAATAAAAACACATTAAAATACAAAAAAAAAAACGCTTCCCAGCCACAGTGGAAACGAGAGGTAGATTTCAGCTAATCGTTTCTATGAAAACAATTGCGCCTACTGAGCCTGACAGGTCGGAAAATCGTCCGCCTTGAACTTGAGATTTTCCGGATAAGGGGTGGTTTTAGAGGGTAGGTGAATATAGGTTGTTTTGAAGGCCACGACGAGACGAGTTTTTTGACGTATCACCGACTAAGATCGGACGAGTTTGAAAAATCATCCCCCTTTGGACTTGAGATTTTCCGGATAAGGGGTGGACCGTTTTTCACGAAAAAGGAAACTTGATCTAGACCTCATTAGAGTCCCTTTATACCCAGAGTTACGACAACTCACTTTTGGTTGGGCCAGGATTGGGCTGAAAGTGGCCTAAAAAAAAATCCAATTCTGATTGGTTCTCGCTCATGGAGGCCGAAACGAGTGCACCAAGATGGCGGTACCTCGAATGTGAACAAGAATAATGTAAACATTACCTAAGTGCGGTTTATCAAGAGTAAATTGTTATTTCCATCGGTCCAAAATGAGAATAGATTAAGAAATTATTCACAAACCAATCTCATTTTCTTTTTAATTGATCAATTTGTTGATGTTGTTGTTTTTGTGTGACAGACATCGCAGGATTCCTGATCCTTATCCCTCAGTATCGATCGTTTGGGTGCACTCGTTTCGGCCTCCATGGCCAGCCAAGGCCGGCTGCGAGTCAGCTGATAATCGAGTTGTCTTAACTCTGGGTATAAAGGGACTCTACCGGCGCCTTCCATTAAAAGTGGTCGTTGGGGCTGAGGCGTCGAGCCTTTTCTTTCCTTTTCGAACCAAACTTACGAAACTTTTTGCCTCCCTTAAATTTAAAAACCTAAATTTTTGTATACACACCTATCTTCCAAATTCTTTGTAAAGACGTTAATAGCCTGAGATGCTGAATGTCTATAAATACCCTGGTGAAAATTGGCGATAGGAGCTGCGTTTCAAAATACCGTAGGAGTTCTTATACCCGACTGAAGATGGCTATTGAAAATCATATAGGTGACTGTAGAAAGCGGAGCAAATCATATAGCCGGGCTATACGAAGCTATAAAAAAGTATACAGTCGGGCTATAGTTCCTATCGCCGAGCTTTACACTTTATCACCATTGGCTATAAGAGGCTATAAGAAATTGTGTAGAAATTCGTGTGCTTTGGAAATCATTAAGTTTGATACGGAACCACCTTAATATTTACAAAACACAGATTATATTTTCCTTTAAAACATATTTTTTTTTCATCAATTAAAATGAGAATAATCCATACAGAATGTGCAAACATTTCAAAATCATGAGTTGAAAAACGCTGACTCCGCGAGATTAAATATTAGAGCCTAACACAAAGCAGAGCGGCGACGCACTGGCGCCTACAAACCTAACAGGGATACTTCACGCATTGCGCAATGCGTGAAGTATCTCTGTTAGGTTTGTAGGCGCCAATGCGCGTTTCGCGCTCTCTGCCCGCCTCGCCTCGCCGCAGCGTGCCACGGCGTCTGAAGCAACTAGTTCACACCAGAGGTATTGCATAGTATCATGAGAAATTGAATGCGCTCTAACATATTAAGAATGACAAGCATCCTTCAAAAGTACGGAGCTTTCCCCGCAAAATAAATCAAGATACTACGGCACAAAAAGAGAGCGGTAGTCCAAAAACTAACTAAGTCCTAGTATCCGTGTAATTAGTAACGGTTAGCATAAACTTTATCGTCTGACTGTTGCTTAATCGCCATCGGCTATAAACGGCTATAAGAAATTGTACTGTCGGCAACAGAATCTATTGGAAATCTTACAGCCGGCTTTAGGTCTATAGTATTTTGGAACACACATTCTACTGCCAGTTTTTACACGGAGAAAAAAACTTCGTGTGTGAGACCCGAAGTTTAGGTCATATGGATCTCTGAAGTTTTTGGATTGAGCATCTGAACACTTAAGGTCTAGCTGCCGAAGTTCAGGTCAGACATCTGAAACTTCAGTTCTTACATCTGAAGTGCTTCCGTTTTCACAACCGAAAAACATTCGGTTCTCACATCTGAAGTACTTCAGATGTAAGAACTGAAGTTTCAGTTGTCTGACCTGAACTTCGGCAGCTAGACCTTAAGTGTTCAGATGCTCAATCCGAAAACTTCAGAGATCCATATGACCCAAACTTCGGGTCCCACGCACGAAGTTTTTTTCTCCGTGTACCAGGGTAAAATAACTAACTAACTTATTTTATCATATTTCCAGGGTTCGGAGAATAATGCCGTGCTAAGGAAGAATGCTGTATGAGCATTCAGCTGTTGCCAGATTTCCTGTAAAAAAACGAATTTACTGGGAAAACTCTGAATGTTTTTCCTTCGAGTTTTCAGACAATTTTGTTCGCAGTTTAATCTAAAATATCTTGAAATTTCAAGGAAAAATAAATGTTTTATTCAAAGAAATTTGGAAACATCCGCATGTGCACACGGCGTTCCTCCTTAGCACGGCAGATTAGAGGAAAGAGACCAAGAAGGAGAGGTGAAGGATGAGTAAAAAGAACCAGGATTGAAGACATGATGAGGAAAACAAGCTAAAATCAGCCAAACTTACCAAATTCGAAATTCGACTCTTCTATGGGGCATATGCGGATCTATGGGGAACGGAGGGGGCTTGCGAGTACGTCTCCCCCCCCCCCCCACGATCCCCCGAAAAAGGAGGAAGAAGAAGGAAAGAAAGAAAAAAGGAGGGAACGGAGCGAAGAAGCAGGAGGATGCTCACATGGACTGCATTTTGCAATTGGGAACTATAAATTCTGGCTCCTCTGGAAAAATACTTATGTGTATAGGGAAACTAATGGCCCATACGTTATTTTTAAACCGGGCTAGAATCAATAGGTCCAAATTGCAAATATAGTCCATATATGTTACCTATGGACGGTTTTTGGTCATAATGAATCCTCCGCTCCTTTGAAAAAACAGGAATTAAGTGTAGGTGATATGATCGAAGGTTTTTGTGACTAATTTTGAAGGACTGCGTACAGATTCTGTATATGATGTGCTGATCTTCATTGCGATTGTCAATTCAGCAAATCATTGCGAAGAACGTCTCCACTAAGTGCGCAATTTGGCGATGCTGTCAAGAGCTCACCTGAATTCTGAATGCTGTACTTAAAATTTACGAAAATTTGCGAAGCGTGAACGATCGATTATTGATGTATCCTCATTTGAAGCTATGGTAAAGAATCGATTATTAAGGTGTCCGTTGCAAACGCTCTGTCTATCGATCCTTTTTCACAGATTCAAATGGCAGATCCGTCGAAATATCACAAAGCTCGCCGCGCCACTGATCGGCACCTAATTGCAAATTCAAACACAGACCGTAGGTGTTGGTGACGATCAACACCGCTGTGGGAAGAGAACGATAAGAACGCAGAGAACAAAATAAAATCTATCAACACGTAAAACGCCAATTTAATAAGGCTCTATGCAAATAGAGGCGGTGGACGGAAGGAGAGGGCCGGGATGTATGATGATTATTCACGGCGGGGTATTTTTAACCTTTGGTATCGTGAGCCCCCGGCGACACCTTTGGCATTTTACACCCTTCACATTTAATAAAATCCAACGGGAACAAGTTCACTGACTCAGAACCTGTTTTCTCGCGAGCTCCTACTTCGCGCAAGATTCGGAGATTATTTTTCGACACAGCGGCGCTGTTCTTATTTGTGACGGAGTCCTTAGGGCGATGATTTGGACGGTGTTAATAGAAATCAGGCTCACTGCATTTTAAATTGTCTAATTCACTGAAAAAAAAATCTCGGTGTATTTACTGAGAAAAGGGTAAAATTACCAAGAATTCAGGGTTCTATTTGATCCCAGTTTTTTCTTGGTAAAATTACCATTTATGGAATTGGTAATTTTACCGAGAAATCTCGGTAAAATTATTGACTTTCTCGGTAATTTTACTGGACCCCGGTAAAAACGCCGATATTTCTCATCGAGTGTGGTAGAATGACCGAAATAAAATGGCAAAGTTACCGGGCATTGATTACCAATAAAAGTAGTATTCTTACCTGAAAAAAACAGTAAAAATACCGGTTTTTAGGTAAGCTAACCAGTCTGTCTTGGTAAAATTACCGATAATCGGTAAAAAAAAGTGAGATGGTAAAGATACCAACGGACCTTAGTAAAAACGCCGAGAATTTTTTTTCGGTGTTTTTTCTCGTGTTTATTTTTCAAAAGAGGACTAGACTTCTTAACGCCGCGCCGCACAGTGGATCGAGTGAATTAGAGATGTCGGACATGAAATTTATGACTAAAACTGCAAATTTCGATGTTTATTCAGTCACATTTTAAATTTCAATGGGCGTCTCTGTAAGAAGATCTCGCGAAGAAAGCCATGGAGCCACTTTTAGAACCTCGAAGTTGTGTATAGACGGCGTTATCAGCGTTTAAAGTTTCCAAATTTTGTTCGGCCTCTCTTATCGACTCGATCCAGTGTGCGCCCATACAGTCTCTGCATAAGAATTTACCCTAAATTTTACTCTATAATACAAATATAAAGTCATATCGATGGCAAAAGTGCAGACTCGCATATCTCCGTTTGCAACGTTGCAGACTTCCAGTAATACTTCGCATTTTTTCTGTGCAAATCTGATAGAGATAATTTTTTGAAAACCTCCCCGATTTTTCTTCTGTGTTGGTAAAATATTCAGTACGAATTTCAAGCGATGAAGTTAGGTTGTTTCTCCTAAAAAAAAATGAATTGGAGATGAATTAACACCGCAATGGGGATATGTGGTTTCGCACTTTGGCCATCGATATGACTACGTAACGCGTAACACATAACGCTTGCGGGGCGAAGCGTTTCGAAGGAGTTGGACCGCAAAGCGGTCAGAGGGTGCTCTACTTGTGAAGAATATGTTGAAAAAAATTAAAGTTTCAATGTTGCTTGGTCTTCTGTTTAACGGATAAAACATCCGGGAAAATTAGGCAACATCTGCGAGCTGAATAAATAGTAAAATTGATAGACAAGGCAGTAGACCAAGGAAAAATGGAGCTATTCTATAAGTTGAAACAGGAGGTTATCATAGAATAAGGAGGGAAATAATGAGTTAACTACATCGGGTTTCTTGTGGGTTGCCATTATGTTAGTCTATTACTCACCTTCTTTGTCCATTACAACCATCCGCCTCCACCAAAAGGATCGCTCCATTTTCTTTGTGCCTTCTTCGTCTATTGCTTTGTCTATTAATTCCAACAATCAGCGCGCTGCTATTCGTAAGTTTACTCCGATTAAATCTCCGTCCAATTGGCATGAAAAAGTATAATAAAAAAGGAGGTAGCCGTGCGGCAACATGAATATATGTTTATATTACACCATTTGACAAGAAAAGAAAAGAAGACAGCATTAGTATATCCATATAATTAACATTTTTTTAAAAATTAAAATCCGGGGTTGAGTGGCTAATTTCCCTGCAATTCGTCAAATACGTCTTTAAAAATGCTCCCTACATTAAACGAGCGTTATTTTATATTCATCATTATCACGTCACTGCGAAGTGACTGCAATACGCCCAAGGCACATCTCAACTTATTTTCTATCTTCTCTTTTTTCAAAATATATACAGAGCGATCCAAGGATAAATTTTCAGACCGAAAAAACGTGTTCTTTTGGCAAAAATAAGACCCTTCATAAAGTCTTTCCTGTAAGTGCCCTGTGAATTTACTAGGGTCCTTCCAAATTTGGAGGCAAATCATCATTATTGCCAGAATTTTGGCATCGGTTAAACCGACCAATATTCATGAAAATGTTCTAACCCCCAGCATTTTTAACGCTAATTCCTCCATGGCCTCAAAAATATCGATATTTGAAGACAAATGGGAGTTTTGAGAGTCCGCGATCTCCCGCACGGTCAAAAACTTTTTACTCCCTGCACCTCCTAAAATCCCCTATTGGATTTTCATATTTTAAAAGTCATGGGTGAATTCAGCGATAAAAATCATGAGTTCATATTATTTCTCATGAGTTCTGATCCATAAACATCGCCAAAATTCAGATAAAACGACGACTTCATAGAAGGAGAGATGGTGTTATTTCGGTCCATTAAACCAGCTCTTGAAATCTGACAGTTTAACCTTGGATTACCCCAGTGGCGATTCTTGAGAGTTGGCAACACTGTTTTCCCTACATTTGAATGTATGCAAAGCAATCGATTCTCGGCGAGAATATTTGCCTCGCCTAAAATCGATATTTTTAATGGATTTAAATGGAGGAGAAACCCAACTTGCAAAATCGCCACTTATAGCCAACTTGCAAAATCGCCACTGACTGTATAAAGACATGCCAGTGATCACACTCCAGGCTCTAGCAGCGGGCTGATTATTGAAATTGATAGACAAAGTTATAGACAAAGAAGACATAACGGATACGGAGGGATCCTGTTGGTGGAAGCGGGTGGTTGCAATGGACAAAGGACGTAGAGAATCGACTAACTATCGGCAACCCACGAGAGACCCGATAGTTAGTCCATCATTTACCCCCTTAGTCTATTAGAACCACCCATTTCAACCAATAGGATCGTTCTATACTCCTTATGTCGTCTTTGTCTATAGCTGTGTCTATAAATTTCAATAATCGGCCCACAGGTGTGAGAGCATGCATGTGCCATTCATAGCGAACATTCGGAAAACTCAGAAAGTCGGTCATGATCAAGTATGATTTGACCCTCGGACATGAGCGGGTGTATGACGTCATCGAAGAGGACAGTCCTGATGAGCGGATGGACAGACGCGATGCACAACTCGATCCTCCTGGTGACCAGGTTGTTGACGAAGATCCGGTTGTCAGGGGTCCGCAGCTGGACCCCACCCCCTGTCTCAGTTGGGAGAGGATAGAGCTTATCCAGGATAATAGTCATCGATAGTCCTGTTACTTTCGAGTAGTTTTCCTGCACACACGGGATGAGTTGCTGCGCCAAACCGAAGTCCTCTTCCTGAACCCGCAGGAAAACTGTAGGCTCCAGGATCTGAAATGAAGAATTTGCAGGTGTCTGAAATTTGGTGAATTTAAATGTTCAAGATGAAACCGCCAAGAGAACTGAACACGAGAATATCCTTGGCTTCTAAATTGGAAATTTATTGAAAGAGATATGTCAAAATAACCGAGAGTAACATTCATTTGGTTCTACTCACGCGCGTTGAAGACGGCGCAGAGATACAACTATTCGTGCCTGATGAATGTCCGTGTTGCGTCTGTAAAATTGAAGGCGCGATGGCGCGATGCGTGGACTCGCAATGCTACGCTCTATGCTGCCGACGAGGTGTTGCTCAGATTCGGGGGGAAAAAAACGAAGCCCAATTACATCTCTCCTATCTTCGGCTGGGTCGACTCTAGATTTTTTCTTCTTTTTTTCAATTTGATGAGCAATTCTTTTTATAAGGTGTATTTGTAGATCTATGTTATATATTATGAGACTCGTATGTACCAGCACTTGTATGAGTCCCCGAGCGAGAAGAGTATTCGGGTTAATTTGACCCGGCTTAGAATTTCCGTGGATAAGTGTCTATAAATATTGCCTGACACCCGATGTCTGTCTTTTTTTTTCAATTTGACGTCTGCTCCTTTTTTACAGTGTCTTTTTAAACCTCTCTCTGAAACCCATATGTGCCGGCCCCGTCCAACCCGCCGGCCTATGGTGTTTTCATCGAGCCTGGGGTCCATTTGACCCAGCATGAGCATTTATATAAGGATTAAATTTAAAGATGTTTTAAATATTGTGTGCATGGACCGATCACAATTTCCTAATAATTTTTTTGGCGGAGCATAAAGTAATGAGATGTAATAATTAAATTATGATCTTACTTTGAGAGCGGCTTGGAGCATTAGTTTAGCCAGAATACTTTTCCGATATTGTTCATTTTTCATAATGTTTTCGTAACGCTTCTTCACTTTGCTTAGGAGATGGTCGACAACCGCTTGTTTTCCACAAAGAAAGTGCAGCCGCCACTGAAGCCTCGTTTTTGATTCCTCCCTGAAAATTAAAAATTCAGCTACAAAAACTTTCCACCTGAGAAATTTTAACAAAGAGAGGCCATACCTACGTATTAAGAGTCTGAAATCGCACGCGTTAATCCCTTCAGAAGAGTAATCAGATCAGCTTTTATTAAACTTGGCTGTTTTATCTGTTTTTATCGATGGGTCACCACCTCACCACCATCTCAAAACGCTCAGTGTTAATTTTTTTTTTTTAATTACACGGAGACAAAAAATTTAGTGCGTGGGACACGAAGTTGAGGTCATGTTGATCTCTGAAGTTTCCAGATCGTGCATCTGAAAACTTGAAGTTCAGCTGCAGAAGTTCGGATCAAACATCATGCGGTATGTGCCGAAGTAGTTCAGATGTGTGTTCCTTTGGTATATATCGGAGTACTTCAAATGTTTGACCCGATTTCTTTGGTATATATAGGAGTACTTCAAATGTTTGACCCGAACTTCGACAGCTGGATAAATCAAGTTTTTGGATGCGCTATCCGAAATATTCAGAGAGTCATATAATTTCAACCTCGGGCCTCGGGCCCTACGTACAAGTTTTTTTTCCTCCGTGTAAAATAGATGATGAGTTTCATTGGTAACTAACATACCGTACCTCGCCAATTAAATACGTCCTAAATAATTGTATACACGCCTAAAAAAAATTGCAGGATATTTTCCAGTATTTTCCTGGTACTTGTGTTAGCATACCTAATATTCTGATGCGTACTTTTTTATGACACTTAGAGAGAGGGGGATACAGATAGAGGAGGGGAGAGCGGGCGATGTGAGTTGCTAGGTGGGAAGAAAAATTTTTACCGCGGAACTGAATCCAGACCATTCCTCCGAGGTCCAATTCCGTACCTCAAGGCAAACTCTCATTCTTTCAAAATTAATTTCTCTTGATTATTTACCTCTTTCTGAATGCAAGTTTCCTCACTCTTCCTCAATCCAGGTTGTGTCAAGGATGACTTTATTCATTCGCTCATCAAGAACCACACCTCCTTTGATCCTACTAGTTAAAAATGCTGACATCCCAGCAGTTTAGCTTCCTACCAAACCACATTTAAACATGAAAACATGTTCTTTCGCGAGTCTTGGAGAGAGAAGTTGCGACATGACGTCATTTCCGCGATTTTGTTCAATGCACCGTTCCCGGGTGCAGTTACATATTCATAGAATCGCGGACTTCAAACTCGCAAATTATTTGCCCGGGATGAAACTAGTCTCGCTCTGCAAACATAAAAGCCGCGAAGCCTCTAAATTTTTTAGTGGTCAATTTTTGCAGTTGCATCTCCGTTGAGTGTCTCCCTTGGTTTTGAGATCAGCTTATCGATTCTTACAATAAAAGTACACCTTTCTTCCTCTCTCTCTATGCCATGTTTGCTCATATTTGTATGAGCGACTCTTTCACTTTGAAGACTTGCACTTGACCTTTGCCCTCTCGCTTCCTTAATACTGGTGATGTGACCCTTCAAAATGAAAATGGTTCCCTCATCATTCACACGGCTCATAAAAATCTTAGCATATCCCAAGTGACTCGTGTGCTCATATTTTGCGGAAAATTTTGAAGATATGAGCAGCGAAGAGGTCAAAATAAGGTCTTTCTACGCGGTTATAAGGATCCTTGAATGTAGATCAAACGGTTTCACCCGATGATTTTTGACCCATTTCCTCGGGGCCTATTATTTTAAGGATACAAATAGGAGGAAAAAAGTGAGAATGCGTAAAAAAGTAGGATTGGGAAGGATTAGGAAAAAGAAGAGAGGAGAAAAAATTCTAACTCGCGATGTATTTTCTTTTGTACTTTGTATTTTTCTTTCAAAAGTGGTAGATTATTGTAGTTCCTTTCAAAAGTTCATTCCAAAGTTATCTTGCTGAACTTCATTCGAAATTGGTAAAAACTGTCCGCTTTAGGAAGGGGGGCGTAGAGGGCCTATCCTTCCCCCCCCCTGTTTGCTCGAAAAAAAGGAGGGAGAGGGGGAGGGAGAGAGGGAGAGAGAAGGAGAGAACGGAGGAAAGAAGGATGGGCGCTTGTATTTGGTAATTCTTTTTTTTTTCTTTTTTTATGACGAAATTTACTCAAACTGCCTGTTAGATGCTTTAAAATTTTGAAAATTTTCTGAGACAAGTCCCCGAATCCCTCTTACGCCCCCCTCCCCCACGTTTGAAGTTTTTGTATCCACGTATGTTTCAAGGCCTCCAAAACCTCCCTTGATCCCTGTGTAAAATAAATGGAACCTCTTGAGGAAAGGAGCTGTTCAAAGAACGACTATGAATACCAGCGGCGATGGCAAGCTTTGCGATATATCGCTTGCTCTGCCGTTTAAACCTATGGAATAGAATCGATAGACAGGCTGTTCGCAGCGAACGCCCTACTAATCGATTTTTTACTATAGCTACATATGAGGAGATATCGATAATCGATCATCTACGCCACGCCTTTGATGAATACGACCCTTAAAGTTTCCACCTGTGGCCAGGAATTTGTTTGCTTTGACTGGGCCATTCGTCGTTTCCTGGGTCCCCCGCCAGACGATGACGTCAGACTCATTTTCGTGGGTTACGTCATTACGGGCCTATGAGTCCGACGTTGAGATGGCCTAGTGACCTTCATTTGACGTTAGGGCACGTGCTCGGTGCTCCCTTAACCTCCCCCTCCCCCGCCCCTCCCTGAGCGCCTCCCCCTATCCAGGCTAGATTTTACTCTCGATTGTCGGCCCTGCTCAAGTCATAAGTCATTCAACAGCTGCGTTGTCGCTCTGACCCACGTCGATATTTAATCGAAAGCATGCCGTCCCAAGCCTCATCGTTATGCACTCGCCAATGGTAAAACTGTAGCAAAGTAAAACATGTCCTTGATTATTTGGTTTCCAACAGTGGTGCAGTAGTGACAGGAGGTATGGCCCTCCATGACTGGAACATTTTTCAAAAAACCAGAAATATTTTGATATTCAGCATTTTTTAAACCATAAAAAATGTTTGACCGTAGTCCCTCCCGCTCATTCCAAGAAAAGTCTCTGACTACGCCAACGCCATAGGTTTCAAAATCTTGTAGCTAAATATCATTTGCGTATATCTTCAGCCAAAATGGACCGTAATCTATACATTGCTGGAACTCCTCATATGTTTTTTCTGTTTTTTTTTCCCCATAGAAAATAAGTGGCAGTCTACTTCAAGTAAATCTTTCTTAAGCAAAGTAAACTTTGCAAAAATTTTTAAGCACTTTGCTGCTTTAGTTTTCGGGCAAAAAAATAAAGCGTAAGAGAAAATTAGGCACAGTGAGACATTCTGGATCCAGTCTCAGGAGAAAATCTGTTAAACTATTTCCAACAACTTTAAAAAATGTTCTTTGAAAGCACCAAAAAGGAGAGATTTGACGCGCCTTCAACCGGAAAACCCCCTACCTACACTACTCATATTGCCTGCTTTTCTCACTTGTTTAATTTTTTCAACCAAAAACCAATCAATTTTGCTGTCGCACATATTTGTACCACAATATTGAAACCACAGGAATTTTTAAATTAAATTTTACCGTCTTTGAAATCGTACAAAGATGCATGGTTGTACATTTTTCTGAAAAAAGGAGACGTGGTAGCGGCCGGAACTTAGAGGCGCCAAAGGTGAAGCGTGAATCGATATATTCCCCTTTGAAGCTATGCTAAAAAATCGATTCTGAGAGTGTTTGTTGCGACGATCTTTATAATCGATCCTTTTTCGTAGGTTAAAATGACAGATCAATCGATCCATCGCTAAGCACGCCACAACACTGAAGGCACCGGGCGCCCTCTAGAGGCCTACCAAGCCAGGCGTTGTCAAGAGATCGTGCACTTCTATTCTTCCTCTCTTTCCTCTTGGTCTTTAATGAATAATAAATTCATCCTCGTGCTTTGACAGACATGAAATGGACGCTAATCACTGAATTCTATACCGACCTTCCCCCCTAACACAACCCCCTTCCCCCTCCTGCCCCTTCTCCGCCTTATGGATGTCATCTCACGACGCAACAAGTTCTGGGAGAGATTTTGCTGAAATTAGTATAATTTTTTTTTTTTTTTTTCAGGAATTGTCTGTGATTTGTCAGAGAGGGATCAGTGCGCATCGATGGCCAAAGTGCAAAACCGCGTATCTCCTTTTGCAGCATTTCAAAATCTTCGGTTCTAGTTTATTTTTTCGAAGAGAAACAAGTCTAATATTCAGCTTGAAATTTCCACGAAATATTCTGTTCGAGAAAAAATCGAGGAAGTTTTCAAGAAATGAACTGTCTAGTTTTCCAAAGAAAAAAAAAAAGTATGACCGGAAGTCTGCAACGTTACAAACGGATGTACGTGGTTTCGCACTTTAGCCATCGAAATGGGGAAGAATAGGTTCTTCCTGTTTCGCTCATGTTACGAAAAGGGGGACATCTTACAAAGATAGCCCAATTTTTAATAAATCGGTGCGAGATCCGTAGAAACAATGATCGATTTGGTGCATGGCATTGGTGGATCCAGCAAATTGACAACATTGTTTTTCTCCATTTAAACCCATGAAAATGTATCGATTCTTCGAGGGGCCAAGTACTTCGACCAGAATCGATTATTGAACATGGGTTTAAAAGGAGGGAACCCGGTGTTGCCAAATTGCTGGATCCGCCAATGTTTGATGACCGTTTTACGTTTAGGTAAAACCGAAGATACTCACAAGACGTCTTCTTTGAGAGTCTGTTTAATTTTTTTTTCTAGGTGCTCATCAACGGAAGTGGATCGGTGAGAGATGATGATGCGACATTCTTCGTCGGCGCTGATGTCGATTTCGTTAGCTTTCTCACAACCATCTTGCTCAATATAATCTGCCATCACCTTTAGCTACAAGTGCGTAAATCAAAAATTATTTAATCCGATAAATAGACAGTGCCAAATACATGATATGAAATTAAGGAACACGATGCATGTTCCACATTAAAAATTCTCGTAGGCTCACAGTGGGCGCATTTAAAATGTCCAAATCGTACTCAGAAAATATAAAATATAGTTTCCTGCACAGGTCGCAGGCAATTGGCAATCCCTGGCTGGATGCGATTTAAGTATTTTTGTCGAGTAATAATGTGAAAAAATGCCTAAGAAAAGAAATAAGACAGGAAGTACTGATCATTGAAATTCAAATAGGTGTTTTGATCTGCTTAAATGCGTTAGTTCGTTTAGTGAAATCAGTAATCAAAGTCAGATTTGGTTCGGATGGGCAACTAAACTAACTGCCAGGCGAAGCTGAGAGTATCACGGGATTTGAAGGCGCTTCACGCTGAGAGCGTAGCAGTAAGCCCAAACTGTAGGTCAAAAGATATGTTTATCCGAGTATTTTGAATACGTACTCGCTTCGTAGATGTACGGAAGAAGGGAAAACATTTCCAATGTAAACGCAGTAATGGATTTTGTACCATCTAACGATCGAAAAATACTCAACAGATCATCATAAAAATGGCGAAAAAACCAATTAATGCCCCTATAATTCCTCAAACCAAACGCATATTCAAACCTTGAGTGTAAAAGTTGCTAGTGTGCAATAGATCGTATTCGACATTGGTTCGATGTATCGTTCGGTTCAAACGATAGAACATGCCTTCAAACAAAAATTTTAGGATTTAAGTAGAAAAAGCTAGAGATGAGAATACTCCTACCAATCTCAGTTTGTATTGCCATTTTGACTCATAAGAATCAAAATTCTAACACGGGAAACCCGTTCCCTCAGATTACTCAATTGACTTTTGAGGCTATGTTCACATGTTGAAGCAATCAATATCGATACAATCTCACCTGTTCGATGTATCGAATACGATACATTGCTCTGCGTATTTGTCTCAGTTGTCGAATGACCACACTCGAGAGAATAGCATTGCTAAGATAGGGACAAATTGTTCAAGCTCATTCGATAATAGTTCATCTGGGCTGAGTAGGAGTTAAACTTTACCTTTTCCGCGTTATCATTCGAAGGCGTTTGCTTAACCTTTGTTTGGAATATTTTTCTTACGTTCGGATTTCTTTCAACCACGTTTGACTGGATTCGATCCCGAAGTGCTCTCATCCCGTAAAAGGTTTGAACAATGCGATTTTGTAAAAACAGAATAACTAGCTTTTTACTGGATGACACCACTGGACTTTGATAGGTTACCGGTTTACGATTTATGTTGCATCTTCGAGCCGATACATTAAAAGCTGTTTTTAGATAGGTTCTTGGTATCAGCTGATACTCAATCGGTCTGAAAGCACTACAGAGTTTTTTCTTGCGGAAATGGCTCGCACAAAAGCGCAAGCCACCGCCATTTTCTCGTCAACAAACCGAAACTGTTTCAATAAGTACCTACTGTTTACGCCTGCGGTATGTCGACGTTCTGAGGAGGTTGATGATTACGGATATTTACGTTCATAGGAATTGAAAGAGTTCTTTTCACATTTATTTCAACCGGAGTTATAATGTGAATTTGCTTAAAATTGTATATTTTTTCCCCGTTTTTGTATCATTTTATATTTGGTCTCAACGAGGACAAAGATTGCCGACCCTCGATCTAGAGAAAAAAAACCCCTTGAAATTGGCTCTTATGGATCTCGTTCTTCTGTCATGCTCGTACATAAAGAAAAAGTGTTAAATTTACTTCTGAATAAATTCAACTTTTTCGCTCATGGAAGAGAGAATAATTTACTTCGGTTATATTGCACTCCAAACGTCACTATGACGGGCTCAATAATATGAAAATATGGCAACCTCAATCTTGAAGCTCAGCTTAAGTTGTACACATTTCGAACAACACATCGTGGGAAAGAAACAATGCTTGATTGAGTAGTCTAATAAAGCCGTTGTGGTGCACAATTTGACTCGCGTAGGGGTTTTTTTTTTTTGTGACCGGGTAACTCAAAAACCAATGTAAATAATGAAAACGTTGATATCTTAGGTAGAAGTTGATTTCGGTAGTTTCCGTTGCGCGAATCGTGTTCTACGTGAAATTCTGGTGAAGAATCATGTATCAGATTGCTTTTTGTACGTTGTTTAATGGTCCATTCAATCCAAAAAAGCAAACATAGAGAACTCTCCTAACTTTTCTCAGAAAAAATATTTTATCGGGAGAAAGGAGGCAACGTTGGAATGCTCATACGGCATCGAAACACAACACGGGTCTTTTAAGCCCCATTTTTCGATGCCACGATTATCCTAACACGAGTTCGAATAATCGAGCCAAACACGGTGCGGTCGGCGTTTAGCTCATATCAGCGCCTTCAAGACTACCGGAATACTGCGCGCGTTGCGCCAAACAGTGCAGTCGGCGTCAAGCGCGTATCAGCGCCTACAAGACTGCATGAATACTTCTCGCACTGCACCAAACGCAATACCAGAGTTATTTGCGATAACTATTCGACTATACTACGGGTACAAGTAAATTTACGCTAGCTGGATTGAAGGCGCATCACACTGTGAAGATGACTCGTGACTCGATCGCGCTCTCTTCTGTGATCTTACTTGCGCGACGCTGAAATTGCAGCAAAACTAAGAGCACGCGTCATTTCTTTTGACGGTCCCTGCACGGAACAGCATTATTTTTTTAATTTTTTTGGGGAGGGAAAGGAGGCTGAATGGCCTAATGAAATCGAGCTACTCGACTTTTTTGATTTGACGCAATACAGCGTCGCAAAATTTATATTTTGACAGTTGAAGAATGCTTATATTTTGAAGTTCATCAGTTGAAAAAACAAATTCAGTTCATTCTCTCTTTTTTTCTGAGGCTCCATAACATCAACTGTCGATACTGTGACTCAGAAAACAAACGGGATCAACTAAAGTTGTTTTTATTTAAACCGAAGAACTTCAAAATATTATTTTTTAATGTAAAAAAATGTGAACTCTGCAACTTTGTATTGTCAAAATGAGCTTTTAACTTGAGGTTAAAGTTTTAGGGAAGGACTACCTCATCATATGGTTTCGTTATCAGGTCATACATTAGAACAAAATCCCTGAGTTTTCCAAGCAAGAGGCACTTTGAACTCTGTAAAGATTAAATTTTTATTCCATATTTCACAAATTTTATAGATGAAAACAAAGGTTTTCCATGACAGTGGCTGTTTGCGCCGATGCACTAAGGTGAAAGCCCCCTCACATGACAAAAAAAGACGATGTTTAATGGATTAACTTAAAGTTCGATGAGTATGTGATCGAGTTTTGAATGCAATATTGCTAAATTATGTCATAATAGAAACTGTGCGAACCTGGCGCGGCCGCAGAGTTTTCCATCAACGCCGACGAAAAGTCGGCGAAAAATTTAGCTCCTGTTCTGCCGTGCTAAGGAAAAACACCGTTTGAACATCCCAGTGTTGCCAAATTTCCTCGCATGAAACATTCATTTTTTTAAGAAGGTCATACATATTCTTCCTTGAACTTTTCGGATACTGTAGGTCAAATTGCGAATAAAATTCTCTGAAAATTGGGGGTGAAAATATCCGCATGTTTCCCTGAAAATTCATATTTCATTCAAGGAAATTTGGCAACGTCTGAAGGCTCATACGGTTTTATTCCTCAATATGGCAGTACTACATCGCTGCCTACATGCGCGACGCGACGCCTTCCGTGCGTCAATCGCGTGTTCTGTCGTATGTGTTCCTCTTTTTTTTGTGGGTTTTCGGGAAAGAAATTCGCAGCTTTACGCTAGGGCTTTCAGTTCACGAGCGGCGTTCTTTCCGTCCCTATTGCAAATATTTGCTACGTATCAGATAACTCATCTCCGGAAAACTTCTCCAAAGGCCGTTTGGCTTTTCAGCTTTTATACGTTCCAAAATGACATTAAAAGTTGTGATTTGTGTTGCCGCGTTGCTGATTGATCTTCAGGTAACTTACAAACACATTATACTTGGGATCATAATTGAACCACATTTTGCAATGGAGATGTTGCATGTGTGAGGAATTTGCGATTTGACTGTTGATTCTTATGTAAAAATTCGCGAGAAACACGATGGTACTACTGCTTTCTCTGAAATCAACTCCCAAGCTCAAAAAAGCTTTCAAGTTGAGGCTAAAATGGAGGGGATATCCCACGCTATCCTGAGAGTCCACCTCTACACCAAAACAAACTCTCCATGCAAAGATAGGGAGCAAAGACATTAGCAGGATTGCCGTGTTTTCAGTTTTGGAGTCCCCAATGAAAGTGGCAGCCCTGTCAATGTATTTGCTCCCTATCTTTGCATGGAGAGTTTGTCTTGATGTACAGGTAGAGGTGGACTCTCAGGATAGCGTGGGATATCCCCTTCATTTTGGCCTCAACTTGAGAGCTTTTTTTGAGCTCGGGAGTTGATTTCAGAGAAAACCAGTGGCACCATTGTGTTTTTCGCGAACGTTTACATAAGATTCTATTGTCAAATCGCAAATTCCTCACACATGCAACATCTCCATTGGACCACATTTTGCAATTAGGAACTAAAATTTCCGGCTCAGTCTAGAAAAACGTAGATACCATTAATAGCATCGCAACGTCTTTTATATGCTTATAATTCATTATGAACGTTCAATTAAAGATTTCCCAGAAGCTTCCTAGACAATCCGTCAGTGAGGGTATCGCAATCCTCCCCTTCCGTGGGGCCCGGAAAATGGAATTTCGACGTAGAATAATCGACAATCGATATTTCTACATTTGAAGCTGTAGTGAAGAATCGAATTTTAAGGTGTTCGTTGCGAACACCCTGTGTACCGATCATTTTCCGTAGGTTTAAATGGCAGATTGATCGATCTACTACAAAGCACGCCACGCCATCGTTAGTTACGCAGGTTTTGTAGAAAAACTCCCGCTCTTAGTTTGTCGGTCGAATCACTACGACTGCTAAACCGGAACTAGGGAGTCAAGACGCGGAGGGATCGATTTTTCATTTTGTCCGTAAATTACAGTGGCGTGGCGTGCCTTGCGATATATCGATTGTTATGCCATTTAAATCTATGGAAGAGGATCGATAAACAGGGTGTTCGCAGCGAACACCTTAGTAATCGATTCTTTACCATAGGTTTAAATGGCATAACAATCGATATATCGCAATTCACGCCACGCCACTGGTAAATTACGGGTACATGTGCGGTAAGTTGCCGTGTTAAGTGTTGCGAGAGAGGATTAAGCTATTGTTTAGGGTGAGTCTCTAGGAAATCTTAAAAATTTGTGTCTAATGTTGGCGAGGTGTCTGCATCTTCAAAATTGAGTCCAATTTTCGTCGATAACCTAGGCTTCCAAAATCTATTTCTCCATCATGGGGAAAAGGAAATTGAACAATGCATTCCTCTCAAGGGATGAAGAGAGTAGGGGCCATCCTTGCCCTCTATCTTGGGTTCGGTTGAGATCGTAAAAAAATTGAAAACGGTGCGCTACAGTACCTCTTTATGGTTATCGAGCGAGACAATGGAAGAGGCGCATATGAGTCTACGTTGCAGCTTTGATTACGTCATTTCTTTTTAGCAAATGCAACCGCACATGGCTGAGCTTTTTCGACAGCGGCGCGTCCGATATTTCGTCTGAAAGAATGCCAAAGGTCTCTCTTATCGTTTGAAGACATAAAATAGACCGCATTATGCACATAGCCGGATTTACGTAATTGTCGCCCCAAGGCCATAAAGGTTTTGCCGCTCCCACGACTTTCAGCTGCGCAAGGGGGGGGGGGGGTGTCATGCCGATTGTAAGGCATACCCAACACATTTTCTTATGCAGAGTTTCAGTCTCTCACCACCTATTTTCGATCTATATTAGTCAGAATCTCGCACCTAATTTTTCTGGAAAAAAAATTGCACTGAATACACTCTTTTGAAACTCCACAATAGGTCTCTCCAGACTCGTCTGTCTACCCCCTCCTCAATCAATTGAGCTTCATCATGAATTAGCAATGATCATAATGAAGTTCTTTACGCGGAAAAACAGCCAAGTGATGCTGGAATTAATCAACGAGCAATTCGCGAAAACAGTCCATGTTGGATCCAATATGTCTCAAGCCTCGAGGCACGAAAGGATCTGCGCCTGCACAATACTCTGGCGTCTCGTTTGCGCCAGTGCTTATTATGCACCTCGTGGAAAAAAAAGAAAATGCACGCCATGCTACACGTGTGACGCTCAAAACAGAAACAGATCCAGGTATTTGTGAGTCAATGTTTCAATAAAAACTAGGCAGAAAATAAGGCTAGCACGTCGCACGAATACTTTCTTCATGGGGTAAAAATAGAATTTATGCGGCACTTTACTCAATTTAACACGAGATATTTATGATTGGAAGACCTTTTTACTATCACTTCAACTGTACGACTTCATTTCCCATGTTTCCTAAAAAACGCAAAACCTATTCATGCTCTAGGCTTTTCAAATGTTCAAGAATTATGGCTGAGTGGAATCTAAACCGTGTGCTCCGTTCGTTAGTTCCTTGATCGCAATTTTATCTGTATAAAATCGCGTTCGATAAAATCGAAATTTTATCTCAATTTATCACGATTTTTCGCTCGAAGATATTGCGATACATAGCCGTCGATAAAATCGCGATTTCGTCGCTTTATGTGATGAAATCGTAATTTATCACAATTTTTTATCCGGTAGTATTGCGATAAATCGTCGTCGATCGAATCGCGAATCATTCTTTGATCAAATCGCAACTTATCGCGATCACTGTTACTTGGAGCAGTTGAATGTTGAAGTCCCGAAAGTAAAAGCTTCCACCATTGCCAAGCTAGCGGTCAATGGTCTCTCCTTTCTGCACTGAAAAAAAAAACTCCAGCCGTGGAAGCCGTGCCTACGGGCTATATAGACACACCGTCCACAATTCGGGCTCAGAGGCCGAAAGTTCCGGATGCACCCGGAGCAATCGAAGCTACGGCTTCAGCACCCGGAACTATCCTGCCGTGCTGAGGAAGAACGCCGCATGAGCATTCGAGCGTTGCCAAATCTCTTCCGATAAAATGCTTACCTATTTTTAAGGAAAATTATCAATATTTTTCTTTGAAATTTTCAGAATTTTTTGGATCAAATTACGAACAAAATTACCCGAGAAATTGGAGGAAAAATATTCACAAATTTTCTTGAAAAGTAGTGATTTGTCAAGGGAAATTTGGCAACGCCTGGAGGCTCATACGGAGTTTTTCCTTAGCACGGCAGTATCAGCCTCTGAGCTCGGAACGGACGGTATGTCTATATAGTCAGTATCCATTTTTTTCAGTGTGGTAACACACCAGTAATGGTATTGCATTTCAGGGAACTTGGAGCGATGAGGCATCATCGGCGGCGAAGATAGGCTCGATGCAGAGCAACATCAAGGGGCTGCTCCAGAAGGCCGACAAGGAGATCGAGGAGGAGGTGCGGGACATCATGTCCCGGATCCTCTTCATCCGCGACCAGGAGGTGGCCGAGAAGAAGACGAAGCTGGCGACGGACATGAAGCCGGTGACGGAGTCCCTGAGGGAGCTCCTGGAGCGGACCCGGGCCGATGAGCCGGAGAACGGGTGTCTCGCCGAGTTCGACCCCAACTACGCCCAGGCCGTCACCAACGCCGGCTACGAGCACTTCCGCGGCTGCGTCGCCAACTACCCGCCCGGCGGCTCCGTCAACATGGACATCACCGAGCTCCGACAGAGCTTCCGGGACCTCGAGCGCAACACCAGTGACGCCTTGAATGACTGCAAACAGGTAAACAGCTCCTCCAACACAAGACCCACACTGCCGTGCTAAGGAAGAAAGCCGTATCTAGAGTACCTTTATAGACAGAGTATGGCCATTCGTATCTTTTTACTACAGAAAAACTGTTCCGGTTTTTGATAGGTCAACGAGTTTTTAGGCTTCATGATGCTCTTAGGGCCGTAAATAAACAAACAAGATGGCGACTCACCGTAACATCGATAGAAGCTAAATTTGACAAAAATTTCAATTATACGACAGTAACAATTTAAACTAGCATATCTACAAATAACACACGAAAAAAACACGAAAACATTGTTAAATCGCCTTTCACCTTTATCACAGGAGGATGTAAGATGTGCATGACCTCAATCTTGCTTGCTGAGATCAGCCATCTTGTTTGTTTATTTACGGCCCTAAGAGCATCGTGTCAGCCTATTCGCTCGCGACCAATGAAAAACCGGAACAGAAATGGCCATACTCTGTCTATAAAGGTACTCTAGCCGTATCAACCTTCAGGCGTTGCCAAATTTCCTTTGGTAAATCACGAGTTCTCGGGTGAATATGTTTCTTCCAAATTTTCATTTACTTTTGTTCTGAAAAAGTTTCTGAAAATTTCAAGAAAAAATATTCATAGCTCTCCTCAAAAATGAGCATTTTATCGAAGGAAATCTGGCAACTCTCGAATGTTCATATGGCGTGTTTCCTTAGCACGGCAGTACAAAATAAATGGCCTTCAATTTCCAGCCGAGAATACTTGATCTACAAGATTTTACTTATACTGTATTTCTGCCGTGCTAAGGGGAAACGCATGAACATTCGAGAGTTGCCACATTTCCTCTCAGAAAATGGTTCTTTTTGAAGAAAGTTATGAATAGTTTCCCTTGAAATTTTCAGGAACTTTACGTGAAATTGCGAACAAAATTATCTGAAAAATTGGAGGAAAAATGTTTACAAATTTTCCAGAAAATTAGTGATTTACAAAAAAAAATTGGCAACGCCTGATGGTTCATACGACGTTTTTCCTTGGTAGGTACGGCAGATTTAGCCCTCGTAATTTTTGAATGTACAAGTAAAATCAAATTTTTCGTTCAACATACTTTAACGAAAAGTTGGATGGAAAGTTATGATCGTAAAAAAATTTGATTCTATTACTCTCCGTTCAACTTTCTAAAGGATGGAAAGTTGAAGGCAGAATTGAGTGTGACATCTCATTCGAGTTTCCGTTCAATTTTTCATCAAATTTTCGTTTTCTCGCGTCAGTGTCACACTATCCAACTCTTCATTACAAGTTGCATCCAAGAGTTGAATGAAAAGTTTGATGGTGTGATATAGGCTTAAAGAAGCGGAGAAACACTTCATCCTTCCTTGCCGATTTCCCTGGCCTAAAATTTTCAGATTGGATCAACTGTACTGAAAGTCAAAAACGATGGTTTCCTTTCGTAAAAAAATTCCTGGATACCCNGGGGGGGGGGGGGGGGGTCAAGCACAGAAAGACACACTGTTGAGTGTCGATGCGGATTACAAAGCGTTATTGTTCGCCTTCATTTTGATGCTTAGGCAAAAACAGCTCCTGCAGGTGGAAAGGGTATAGTTGCGTCCTCGAAAATATATTCTTCGTGTGTGACGTTCTCTCGATTATTCAGAGAAAGTATAACCACTAAAAAAAGGAGTCAATCTATTTGTTGGTAAGAATAGCTTAAAATTGCTTCCTATATGACTCAATTCCTCAAGCATTTGTGGGAGAGAATCTGGGCGAAACTCTTTGTGAATTTGCCCTGGAATATTACTACTAGAAATATTACTAAATTAAAGTTAGCACGTTGCTTAACACAGTTTCCTCTTATAAAATAATATACATATGAGAGGATATTCAGCAAAGTCGGATGCATAGTTCAGACGATTTTATCCAAATGCGTCCAGATTACGTCATATTAATGGGAGAGAAGGATCTCAGTAAGTTCACACGTCAGGTGTATGGCAGGGGAATGACGTTGAATTGCGTCAAGCTAAAGTCGGAGCAAAGTGCCGATTTTTTGAAACCTCGGTAGTTTTGGTATTAACATGTACAAAAATGCCACTTTTTCACGTATGAAGCTAGGAAGGTCTAGCAAAGCAAATCGCAATTCGCAGTCGGGCGCAGACCTGCGCGACAGGTGCGTGACGAGTCATCACAACACGAACTATGCGGTCGTGCTAAGCAAAAACGTCGAATGAACCTTCAGGTGTTGCCGAATTCCCTTTGACAAAGCAGGAATTTTCAGGGAAACTTGCAAATATCTTTCTTCAAACTTTACTGAGGGTTACATTTGCAAATTAATGAAAAGTACCTGAAAATTTCAAAGAAAGATATTCAGAACTTCCCTCAAAAACAAATATTGTATCGAAAGCTATTGGGCAACATTCGCATTTCAATACGGCGTTTTTCCTTAACACCGCAGTAGTAGGTCTAAGTGCTAAGTTTCAGCGTGACGTAATTTACGGGCAGCTCCTGACTGAAAATAGGTATAATGGAACAAGTCGGTAAAATCACCAACTTTCCCGGACGCTATTAATTCAACGGAAATTTTCAAAAATTGTACAATCTTTCTGGGAATTTTCCTGTATCATCGGTATTTTCACCAGCTTTTCTTTCCGGATACGTGGTAATGTTAGTGCGTAGGTGGATGCAGACACCCCGAACGGGGGAGGGGGGATTTCGAGGCTTTCCAGAAAATTGTCGAAATTTTAAAGCATCTAATATGCAGTTTGAGTCACAGTTTCATCATGAGTAATTGCCAAATATAAGTATCCTTCACGGAAAAACAATTTAGCGTAGAGCCCTAACATTTTAAGTTAAATAGCGCCGACTATAAAGGCAGAAAAGCTGAGCCCTCCCTACAAGGTGCAAGGCTCATCTCCTCAGCCCCACTACCTTTGGCGCTATTTGACCTAAAAAGTTGAGGCTCAGCGTGAAATTGTTACTTTCTCGCTCCCCTAAGGTAGAGAGGAAGTATTGTCATCCTCCAAGAAGAAAAAAAAAGTTGAATTTTTTTCCGTTTCTTTATTCATTCCTCCATTCCTTCCCTGGTAAAAATTGGCGATAAAATCTGCGTTTCAAAATACCATAGGAATTTTTATAGCCAGCTAAAGAAGGCTACAGAAAATCATATAGCTGACTGTAGAATGCGGAGAAAACATACGGCCGGGCTAGACGAAGCGATAAAAAATTATGCAGCCGGGCTATAGTTCTAATCGCCGGGCTTTACACTTTATCGACTGGCTGTTGCTTTTTAGCCATTGATTAGAAAGAGCTATTAGAAAGGCTATTAGAAAGCTATTAGCAAGAAGCTAGAAGAGAAAGAGAGCTAGAATTAGAAGCTATTAGCAAGGCTATTAGAAATTGTGTAGAAATTCGTGTGCTTTGGAAATCATTAAGTTTGATACGGAACCACCTTAATATTTACAAAACACACATTATATTTTCCTTTAATACATATTTTTTTTCATCAGTTAAAATGAGAATAATCCATACAGAGTGTGCAAACATTTCAAAGTCATGAGTTGAAAAACGCTGACTCCACGAGATTAAATATTAGAGCCTAACACAAAGCGGAGCGGTGGCGCACTGGCGCCTACAAACCTAACAGGGATACTTCACGCATTGCGCAACGCGTAACTTCTCATGCTTTTATTATGATTTTTTTTATGACAATGCCACTAGTTATTGGTGGTTTTGGTAATTGGCTTATCACTGTTTATTGGTGGGGTATATAACTGATGATCTTACTTAAAACATTTTTTAATTTTATTAGTATATAAAAGTATTTTTAACTTCCAATTAAAAGGATTATAAATTAAATAAAATAAATGTTTATAGCAATTATTTATATTGTGGTATCTTGCATAATTGTAGCCTTCATCAATATAGTATATTTAATAATTGTTAATAGGTTTGTGTTTCGCGCTGGCTGCCCGCCTGCCACGGCGCTTGAAGCGACTATTTCACACCATAGGTATTGCACAGTATCATACGAAACTGAAGGCGCTCTAATATATTAGTAATGGTAGGCATCCATCAAAAATACGGAGCTTTCCTCCCAGAATAAATCAACATACTACGGCCCAAAAAGAGAGCAGTATTCCAAAAAATCACCAAGTCCTAGCATCCGTAATTAGTAACGTTTAGCATAGGTACACTTTATCGCCTGGCTGTTGCTTAGTCGCCATCGGCTATAAAAGGCTATAAGAAATTGTGTAGCCGGCTATAGAAGCTATTGGAAATCTTACAGCCGGCTGTAGGTCTATGCTGCCGTGATAGCGAAGAGAGCCCTAAGTGCAAAATTTTCGAAATCGAGTTTTCTTCAAAACTCGTCTAAACTCTTTTAGATGAAATTACTGAGACAGCTAAAACAGCAAAATTCATTCTAATTTAATGAGAACGAGACGCATGTAAAAGCCGTAAGTGTACAGAAAATGACACAGTTTTTTTTCAAGACAGCCGTAGATGCATGAGAGCCAATGAAAACAGTGCTTTCCAGTAAAGTGCCGCCCTCTTCTGCCAATTTCTAACCTGAAAATGTGTTTGTTATGCGTCCAAAACGCAACCACGAAAGCATGCAGAATATAGCACTTACGGCTGTCTTGCCTAGCAATAACCTAGCATGAAAATGAAAAATACCCGTTTTATGCAATGGAAATAAAATCAGTCGATTTTTAATCATCCATACGACTTCTAGGGGTGCCACACACGGGAGGGATGAGGCGCCCAAAAGTGAGGCTCTGCTGCGCGCGCACGTCGCATGTTTGGATTGTAATTTCGCGGCAGATTCGAATCCAAGGGGCGAGTTCCATAATACATTCTTCTCAANAAACTTCATTTTTGCACTTACGGCTCTCTTCGCTATCACGGTAGTATGGTATTTTGGAACACAGATTCTACTGACAATTTTTACCAGGGTTCCCCCTTGGATCCGCCTATGCTTGGCAAAAGAAATGGAAATGTTATTGGGAACTTGCTAAAACTTGGTAAAAATGCATTTGTTTCCAATTGCTTGCAGGGACCCGAAGTACACGCGGAGATATGTTTGGAATCCCTGAACGAGGCGTTCCGAGCGGACTTGGCCCGACTCAAGGAATCCAGGATGACGCACATGAAATCGGAGGCCGCGGAGGCCGAGATCCTGGAACGCGTCAAGATGGAGGAGTGCATGAAGGAGGCCCTCACCAACGCCCGCGTCATGAAAGACACCTTCAAAGACGTCATCCACAACTGCGTAACCCAGCCCCGCCAAATCGATCCCAGGATCAACCTGGCACTCCCCAGGGAGTAGGACCACCGTCCGGCCGCCCCGCACTGAAAAAAAAAATCTTGGTGTATTTACTAAGGAAAGGGTAAAATTACCAAGAATTCAGGGCTCTATTTGATCCCAGTTTTTACTTGGCAAAATTACCATTTATGGAATTGGTAATTTTACCGAGAATCTCGGTAAAATTAATGAACTTTCTCGGTAATTTTACTGGACCTTGGTAAAATCGCCAACATTTTTTTATCGACTGTAGTAAAGTTACCGAGATAAAATGGCAAAGTTACCGGGAATTGATTACCAATAGAAGTGGTATTCTTACATGAAAAAACAGTAAAAATACCGGTTTTTAGGCAAGCTTACCAGTCTGTCTTGGTAAAATTACCAATAATTGGTAAAAAAAAGTAAGATGGTAAAGGTACCAAGGGACCTTGGTAAAAACGCCGAGAATTTTTTTTCAGTGCGTGTTAGGGAAAAACGCCGTAAGAACGTTCGAGAGTTGCCAAATTTCCCCGGATAAAATAAATACTTCTATGGAAAGTTAAGCATATTTGGACGTATTTGTGCGAAAACGAACAGGAGACAGGTGGAAAAGGAGTGTGCTCGTTGGTTTGAGGGTTGTAAGAATGAATGGGAATTGTAAGGCGCCAGTGACGTCAGCGGCGACGACTAGACCTGCAACGACGAGATCGGTGTTGGGGCGCTTTGACTCATGAGCCCTGTACACAACGCTGTCGTCACATGTTCACGGCTCATGCGTTATCATATTTTGGTGCTTAGTTCCTTTTGATTTAATTTTAAATCCCTCTTTTCCATTTACCCAAATGCACCACGCCCACTTCCACTTTGTTTCTTATCCAGCTGCCACGAACACACCCTATCTTTCTTAAATGTCTCTAATTCCTTTTGGCATAAATACGTTCGAATATGTGTTTTTGAGGAAAGTTATGCGGATTATTACTGAAGATTTTTAGATGATTTGGATTAAATTACGAATAAAATTTTCTGAAAAACTGGAGGAATGATATTCACATTATAGTTGTAAATTTGTGTTTTATCAAAGGAAATTTGATTACGCCTGAAGGTTCATACGGTGTTTTTCCTTAGCACGGCAGCTTTCGCGAGCGGACTCGAGAAAAACTTGAGAGAAAACTGTCGGAAACTGTATAAGACGCTCGTGAATTGATGGGGTCTGGCGAAAGTCGTCCAATCCTCAAGATTATCCCTAAAATTTTCAATTTGTAGCATTTACAACTTTTTTTAAAGTTTACCTCGAGTGTCATCCATGAACATTTTTTCTCAGTTTTTCTACAGTCTATGATACAAGGCAGATAGCTTGACTGTATCAACACTCAACAGTTTGGACTTTATTGTATAAATACCTGAAATTTGATGATTTTAAGCTTACCTATATCTTGATTGCTTTAAAAAAAAACTGTGTACCATTTAGAGTACATTTTGATGTATTTACATAACAGTTAATGCCTTTTAAAATAACTTGTGTGGTAACTTTTTTGCAAATTTTTATGGTGATATTTTTAAAACGTCGTTGTGAGTAAATGTATTGCTTTTGATCGTTTGTCGCTCATTCGAATAGAAATAAACTAATGCTTTTTTTGCTTACTCCATTCACTTGTTTACACCAATTGGTTTGGTTATTTTCCATCCTTGTTAAATGATTAGATTGTGATTCCAAATGAGGCACCTAAAGATACCAGTTCTGCATCTCGTATACCAAGGAGACACCGCCTCCTCAAATAAATTAACAATAGAAATATCAACATTTTTTTTCTTTCTTTTTTTTAAAAAGAAAAAATGCATTCTTTTGAATCAAAAGCTTTATCCCAGCATGGTATGAAGAACTATAAGGATTAATTGAAGATCAAAATCTTTGATTCTCATACTCTCACATATTAATGACCGCATTTGGTCAACTTTAGGATAATTATCACCTCAAAGTTTCTGTGTTTTCGAATGGATAGCTATTCGCGCTCTACAGTATGTTTGTTGCCTATGGGGCAAAATTGAAGGCGAATCGTAAGTGGAAAGAAAAACAGAAACAGAAGAAAAAGGAGAAACAAGAAAAAAATAGGGGGGAATAAGATGAAGTAAGTAGTAAACGTACCTACTTTCCATTATCATTTTTTTTCACAAATCCATCTGTTACTAACTCATTCTTGCGAGCACTTATGATAATTGATTCCGTTGTCCCGTACATGCTCGTCAAATTTTGCGCGGAAATCATCGTTACATGTTTCAGCCTTTAGAGAGGTATTTTCGTATCGTCAATAATGTTAATCGTGATAAAGCATCGAATATTTCATGCGCTGACATAATTTTTTGTGTGTACAAATCTGACACTTGCAGGATTGTAGTTTTGAATTAGTTTTCATTGGTGGTCGCTTCTCTTCTGATGTAGGATTCAATTGAGGTTCCCTCAGGGCAAAAATTTTTAAAATCTCTTAAACTTTTGTGCTCAAATCATTTACTACAAAATTTCGACTTCAATCATATTGAACGATTTCTTCCACGTCTTTGCCTTGCCGTCTGAAAAACTAGATCATTGCTAATTTCCTAAAAGGCATACCTACACAAATCATTGTTATTTACTGCAAGGTAAGATTAATTTTTTCATCTCGATTACCTATTTTCAAAGTTGCAATACCTTTAAAAAGAGAAGGCCTCTTCAACGGCGTGTAGCCACCATGCACAATTGATGCAGTTTATTGTAACCTGTGTTGAGGATGCTACTTGGGAATTTAAGAAAACAGATTGAACCATAAGCGTCGCTAGAAGCGTAGGGAGGGGGGGGGGCAGAGCACCTGACTGTCCACTCTGGGAAAACGATCTCAAACTCTAACCCCTCTCATGGGAGCTATAAATTACCTCCTGTACTGAGTGGGTAAGGGGAGTCTCCCCTGGTAAATTTTGAAAAATTGACGACATTTGAGATGCATTTCGACGGCCAAAGTGCAAAATCACGTATCTCCGTTCACGGCGTTGTAGACTTCCAGCCTGTTATACTTCATTTTTCCTCTGAAAGTCAACCAGTTCTTGAAGTTCACCAGTCAACATAATTTCTTGAATACATCGTCGATTTTCCTTCACCGTTAGCAGAATATTCTGTATTTTCAAGCTATAACTTTAACTATCGCACCTGTTTTAAAGAATAAAACGGTAATGGATATTTTGAAACACCGAAACGGAGATAGGTGGTCTCGCACTTAACCTGTCGATTTTGAGACCATTCAGACGCAAATTTTCATCAAAAATTTCGTGATTTGAATTTCTCTATTCTCATATTGCTTGGCGTGGCAAGGAAATTTAGGATCATATTTCAGTCCAAATTTCCTGGTGAGGGGGGGGGCGGCAAATGATACTATTTCAAATTCTGGGTAGGGCGAAGGCCCCACTAGGGTCTTAATAGCTACGCCCGTGAATTAATCATATCGAAGGCTAAAGTGTGGAACTACATATCTCCATTTCGGTGTTTCAATATGTCCGCTCCTTTCTTATTTTTTCGAGTAGAAATAAGCCAACTTGAAATTTTCACAAAATATTCTGCTAACAGAAAAAAAGGGTCGAGAAAATTTTCAAGAAATGACGCTGCTTAGTTTTCCAAATAAAAAATGAAGTACCTAGGTATGACGGAAAGTCTGCATCGTCGCAAATGGTGATACAAAGTATCGCACTTTGTCCATCGATTTGTACCCTTGTTCTCATTTTCTCTGTTCCCAGGGTTCAGAACACGTGTAGATGTCGAAACGGCGGCAGAAAGACTACTTGATGGGGGTGTTAGAACCGACCCTGATGGTCGGGCTCTTCCACGGTTTGTTCCCGTACCGACTCGTGAAGAAGGGCGAGTTCACAGAAGTGAAAGGCGAGCTGCTCTCCTTCAATGCGCTCTACGCCATCAGCTTCTACGCGGTGATCTCTATGATCTTCCTGGCCTGCCGACCGCAGAGCAAGACGTTGCAGCTGACCAACGTCATCTGGCCGATCGTCATGCTCCTCATCTACTGGATCAAGACGAAGCAGGCTCTCCACTTCTTCCAGCTCGTCAACGCCTTCGACGACAAGATGCCCTACGACGAGGCCTTCGTCAAGGCTTGCCCCAGGCGCCGCAGGTTCTGGTTCACCGGGGGACTCTGCCTCTACGTCTACTCTTTCGTCGCTTATATAGGTTTGCACTAAAACAAGAGACCCTCCATTGCTATCTTGGCAATGCTGCCGTGCTAAGGAAAACCATAGAGTACATAGAGTCGTAATGTAAATGGGAGATCTGGCGCCATGTTCTGCTCGACGAATTCCAAGCCCGGTGTGCGCCGAGTTCGAGTCACTTTTTCGATACATGTTCGATCCAAAATGGCGGCGTGGAATACGTAATGATTCCTATCTTCTTTGTTTACATCAGATGGCCGGGTACCCGTGTCTTGCAAACAATCGATCATGTATCGAAAACGTGACCCGGCGTCACACAGGAGTCTCGGAATTCGGGACCTGGAAAATGCTTAAAAGTGGCGCCAGCTCTTCCACTTACATTACGACTCTATGTACTCTATGGGAAAAACGCCATATGAACATTCAAGAGTTGCCAAATTGCCGCCTATTGAATATTCATTTCTGAGGAAATAAGAGAGAGGTGAGACACAATAGCCCGAATGCAGACAAAAATAAAAACACATCAAAGTACAAAAAACAAATGGGTATACAAGGCTAAGGAGAAACGAAACAAACCAGGACGTTTCAGGCCAATTACATGCCCAATCTCAACTGGAACAGAAGCTAAAAATGTAAAAATTAAAACGAGGAAATGAGAATGCAACTGACCTAGGTAGGAATCAGTGCAAACTGAAAAACAGTCCTGGTAAAAATTGGCGATAAGAGCTGCGTTTCAAAATACCATAGGAATTCTTATAGCCGGCTAAAGAAGGCTACAGAAAATCATATAGATGGCTGTAGAATGCGGAGAAAATCATACGGCCGGGCTATGCGAAGCGATAAAAAATTATGCAGCCGGGCTATAGTTCCTATCGCCGGGCTTTACACTTTATCGCCTGGCTGTTGCTTTTTCGCCATCGATTATAGAAGGCTATAAGAGATTGTGTAGAAATTCGTGTG